AGTCAGTTTCAGAGGCCGTCATGATATGCACCAAAGATAGCAGAATGCCATTATTTGAAATCCATAGGTTGGACACCTAAGTGTTGGAAACCCCACAGACTCTATACATCCCTAGGTACCCCCCAAAAAGCCTCTAGGTAGCAAGGAAGGAAGGAAAGGATCCTAGTAGTAGTCCCTATATGGAGGTTTCCCCAAATTAGGGGTACCATTTTTGGGGTCCCCATAAGGGATTATAGTATTTGGGGGTCTATATTGGGGTCCCCTTATTTTAGGAAACCACCATATAATGTTCACCTCATATTAATAAACCCCCGCGCAATTGCAAAATCCAAATCCCAGAACGTAATTTCAAACCCCCCGTAAATGCAAAATCCAACCTGCCAAACCGCAAAAATGTGGAAGCGCTCGAAAAGTACCGGTACTACATCTGGCTACGAGGAATGGAGTTCCAGCTCACGGTCCCGGATACCCTTAATTACGGAGGCTCGGGTTCACATCCTCGGGGGGCGGGGGGGGGGGCTTCTTATTATGAGGTTAACATTACTCCCCGATGATATAATAATTTTCATTTTCTTCTCCATTTCTTCATTTTTATGCTACCCTGCTGTATCTAAGCACAATGTGCATTTCAGTTTCCATTTTGTTGTCCATTTCATTCTCCATTATCCTGTCTGATATCCCTAAACCCTACATGATCCGTATATAACCCACACACATACACACGTACATACATGCATACATGCATATGTCTATAATCTCTATGTACTCCAGGTGAGACTGAGCGTTGGCACCTTGCCTTGCCGGCCTCAAACCAGACCCTCGATGGACCACCTGCAACATAGCTCCAACAGGAAACACGAAAGCTATATGCTATAAGGATTATAAGAGGATTATGGGGGTCCCTATTACGGATCTTTTATGTCGGGACTATTTTGGAGAAGTACATACCTGGTAGTTCCAAAACAAAGGACCCCAATATCGATGCCCAAATCCAAAAAAACTTGCTAAATCGACCCTCCAGAAGGTACCCCTAATTTTGGGAAATCCGTAGGGTGTAGCAGCAAAGGTTGAGTCGGGTTGAGAGGGAAACGTTGCATGACGGGCTTGATGCTTAAAGTCCTACATGACCCCATCGGTACATCATATCTTGAGAAGTAGAGGGTATTGTAGCACATGGCATCAGTCCAGGATCTGTGTATCAACAGCAGGTACTTGCAAGGCACGAATATGACGACATTACACGCAGGCCCGGTGTGAGGACGGGAGGATACCACACGAGGCGCGAAAGGAAGACACGGTAAACAAGCAAGATACGACACGAGGAATCATGCAAAAGCACGACACGAAGAAAACGCGAGGCACCATAGGCGCTTGTTCGGAACTGGAATGCAGAATGAATTTGCAGCTAACCCGCAGACCTAAACCCTAAACCCTAAAATTCAGACTTGGCATAAAAATAGTTTCATTTCTTTTCCATTATCCCTATATAACCCCTTATATATTCCCTATATACTTCCTATACCAAAATCCATTAAACTATCCCATACTATCCCTATATAACCCCGACATCTTCCATATATACTCCCTAAACCAAAACGTTCCCCTAAACCCTAAACCCCTAGACCTTAAACCTTGCAACCAATCCAAGCGGTCACATCCGGGGAGCGCCTGTTGAGTCCATCGTTTGCCGCACCTGCGGCAGCTGAAACAGAAAGCCTATGGGTTATGGGTTTAGGGTTTAGGGTTGGGGTTATATAGGGATTATATACGGAGTATATAGGGCTGCATAGGGATTATATAGGGCTACATAGGGATTATATGGGGCTACATAGGGATTATATAGGGACATTGGGATTATATAGGGCTATATAGGGGTTGTGTAGGGATATATAGGATTGTATAGGGACATATAGGGATTGTATAGAGATATATCGGGATATCTGGCCTTGGCCCTGAATAAAGCTGGAAAAATCACAAGGCTTCTCCATGTGGACTTGTCTCGATCCATAGCGAAACCCTCTAAGCCTTTACTTTTTTCTGGGCTTGCAGCTTGTTAGCTCACTTCTCAACTCTTTGGCCTTCAGAGGTATCGATGTCCCCCGGCTTCTGCTGCAGCTTTGGCCCAACCTTCCAGAAGGTACTATATGGGATTATTCAGTTGCATATATGGGGTTATATTAGGTTGAATAGGGGACGGAACGGCACATGGAAGCTCGGATTTTGGCACAGCTGCTTGTGGCTGGCTGCATGAAAGGACTCCCGCGTACTCATTGAAAAAAGGAAGCTTCTCAAAACAGGAGCCTCATGAGACCCCAAGGCTATGTGGTAGTTTCCCAAAATAAGGGGACCCCAATATAAACCCCAAAATATGATATTCCTTATTATAAGGACCCCCAAAATGGCACCTCTAATTTTTGGAAACCCCCATATAGGGATTGTAATATATTTGGGATCATACAGGGACTATTTGGAGAAATACCTACAGGAGCTACAGTCAACATTTCTCGATGTGATCAATGGACATGGGTTCCTTAAGAAGTATACCAAACCACCAAAGGAATCCGTGTCCACCCTTAACGGTCCTCTGGTAGCCCTAAACCTAAACCCTTCGTGGTCCCTTGGTAACCCTCATGTTGACAGGACTTCACATGAGCTACAGTCTAAACTCCTAGCATCCTCCTTAATGACCCCTATAATACTCCCCTAGCTAATACCCTGCATAACCCCCTTTAAGGAGTTTAGACCCTAGACCCCGAACGCTAATCCCCTATATATCCCCCTTAAAGGAGTTTAAACTATAACTCACATACTCTAAGCCCTAACCCTAAACCCGAAACCCAAATAAGACCCTATATAAATCCTAAACTCTGAACCCTCATAAAGCTTCAATACACTTTTTATTCGGCAACGCAGGATGGCTCGACGCAAGGTGGCGAGCTCCACCCACCTGCGGTCGGACGCATCAGGTTAGTTCAGTCTTCCCTGGGTTCTATGGGGATACTATATATTGGATTATACAGGCCCAGACCCCTGGGAGGATCTAAAAATTAGATCCCCTATATAGACCCATTATAACCCCCATGTAATCCTTATAGGGGATGTAACTTTTAGATCCTTTTGGGGGTCTGGGTGGGTATATATTATGGGGATATATTCGGGTTAGACAAGGTCAAGCAGGGGGAGTGGAAAAGAAGATGCAAGCTACTATTTAGGAGTTAGGGGTTAGGGATATATTGCCCCAATAATGGAGAATCGCATGGAAAAGACAATGAAACACAAAATAGGGGTTACATTGTTTACCTCTGGTTAGTGGTAATGTAGGCATGGAGAAGAACATGGAAACTACCCTCTAGGTCTTATAGGGTCCAGGAAAAGGACAAGAAACCGGGAACTATTATACTTGGAAACTTAGAACTCTGCTTACACATGGGCTATTGGGATTCCGTAGTCAAATTGAACATACAATGGAGACTAGTATGCTGTCTACTATAAGGATTCATTCCGACATGACTTGCAAACCAGAGGTAAGTATTCAGACGCAACATCGCGGCACGTCACTGTGAGAAGCAATCCTGCATATGTATGAACCCAAATAACAACAACGTAATCCTGCTTATATGGGTTCCCCAAATGGGTTCCTTTGGAAATGCACATACCCCGTGAATGCAATTAGTGTGGCCTTGTCAGATCCTTATGGGCTCTGGGGCCATCGAATCACAGCCATGTGCAGCTAAACTTGAAGTGCGCGCGAGGGGGGTGGGCACAATTTTCTAAGGGCTATAAAGGAATATACATACATATATATATATAGACATTTGGACTAGGCATTAGATGTCAAGATTGTCAAAATTGTCATGCCCATTTCGGGCACCCTAAATACCAGGGCGCAGATTTGTTGGAGACCCAAAGCCCAGCGACTGAGTTCCCTGCTCCAAAAGAAAACGCTACCTTTTTGCTCAAAAAGGGCTATACTAATAGGGTAATATATGTATCTATCTACCCCTGAAGGCTAAGGATTTTTCCATATCTCTACCCCTAAAGCCTAAAGATTTCTACTCAGATTCTAAGAAGAAAGGATACCTAAACCCTAAACCCTAAACCCTTAAACCCTAAACCCTTAAATTCTAAACCCTAAACCCTTAAACCCTAAACCCTTAAACCCTAAACCCTAAACCCTTAAACCCTAAGCCCTCATTTCACCCAGGCCTGGAGCCAGTAGGCGGCTGTAGCGTTGTTGGCCAAAGAGCCGGTCAGGACCTCAAGTTATCTATGAAGGGTTTAGGGTTTAGGGTTTAAGGGTTTAGGGTTTAGGGTTTAGGATTTAGGGTTTAAGGGTTTAGGGGTTTATGTAGGATGAGTAGAGAAAGTTGATTCACTTGTCATGTAGGATGCATAGGTAAATGGTTAAATCAGCTAACTTAATGTACTGTCTGTTTATCCTATGTGGGTTATTCTCAAAGTTATGGGTCCATTTTGGCCATAGAGTAAATTACGGCACCTATTATTCAGGGGTACCAGAATGGGACCCTGATTTTGGGAACTACTCATGTGTGTGAACCCTCGGCCAGACAACCCTAAACCCTGAATAACTTGGTTTAGGGTTTAGGGTTGATGGACGGCTCAGCTTAGCGCCACCTGTCTCATTTCAGGCGGGATTGACGCATCCGAGAGGATGTCAATGTGAACCTCCCACCAACAAAGGCATAGTAATACTATGGTACTAATATAATAGGCATATAGTACTACAGTAGTAATGGTATAGTCATGACAAAGGACTAAGATAGCATGCACAATCCATGATCTTGGTGAAAAAGCACCTGGAGCTAGTTCTTGCCGAACACTTTGGAGCCTGACACCGCTGCGCGAGTTCCTGCATGTGACCGCCGGGGACGAGCCTTAAGTGGAATGCTGGAGACTAGCAGAAGAAAGACAAACCTATATCAATATGATAAGTCCACACTGGCCACTGGCGCGATGCCATATTCAGAAAACCGAGGCATTCACGTGGAGAAGAGCACATCGCTGGCCACCAAGACAGAGAGTGCACCGCGCACATGACCTGAGAAACAGCTCAGTGGCATTTTGGACATGCCCCTGCCTGGTCTTTAGGGGTTTAGGGTTTAGGGATCTAGGGGTTTAGGGGTTTGGGGTTTAGCGTTTAGGGGGGGTTTAGGGGTTTAGGGTTTAGGGATTTAGGGTCTAGGGTTATTCAAACAATGCACGGTTTTCATCGTCCTAATCGCTGGGGCTGTGGAATGTAAAGACACCCGTGTGCGGTGTCTTTTTTCAAACCCTCCATGTCTACCCTGCGCAAGTCTGAGTGTGGCTCCGATGGAGGAGCTGCTCTGCAAGAGGGCCTGCTTAGGCTATTGGGGTTATATTGGGATAATGGAAAATACTATGGAAACTACTATAGCTTGAAAAAACACGGGGATGTATGAAGTGTTCTGCTACAGCTGCGTATCATCAAGCTCACTCAGGGCTTACGGGTTTGGAGCACTATCCACTTGGACTGGAAAGCTTGCGGAAGACCAACCCACTTCCATGTCAGATGAGAACTATGATCCGCTTTCAGGAAACCTATATGCAGCACCATTCATGCGGCATGTGAGATGTTCGGAGCATGCACACACCATTTTTACAACCACGGCCCTCCCACAAAACTAACGTTGCTCGAAATCGAGAGCCTGCACTTCAATAAAAGGGCTTCATGGGGTTTCATGCTAGTGTAAAGCAATTCTGGCCTCCACCTGTGGCGCGGCTTCAATTGCAGACATGAGGGTAGCCTGAATTGCCTGAACAGATGCGGCGGGCCCTTAATTTAGGGCATTTGTGTTGTAAAGGGATCTTTGCATACGGTTTGTGCTTTGTTGTCCGGGCTAATGGTCAATGGGAACTTGGTGAACGTGCTATCGTTTTCCAGCATTTGCTGACGTTCTCGTTCTGGTGAGTGTGTTCATTATGCAGCCCGGGCCTCCTCAGGTGATCTTCCAAGCCTGTCACGATCCAGACCTCCAGGAGTTGTAGGTTCACAAAGCTTGTATGCTCACGTGCACAAAGCCATCCAGCCTCCTCCGCTGCTTGTGACCGCTTGTCTTTCCTGTCCCGTTCTAATGTCAGGCAGCTGCTGGCCTGGGAAGGAGGAAAAGTCGTTTGACTCCTGCTCCCAGGCCGCTGAACCTGCATCATCAGTCTGCTGAAGGTCTCTGTAGTACGGCTGCTCAAGCACAGATGGCTGTGAGAAATCGGACTGCGGCCACTGTTGCTGGTGTCGTTGCGACTCATTGCGAGGAGGCTGATGCATGTCGCCACGCCCTTCGCTAGCAACTGCAGATGCTCCCACGGCCCGCTCTTCGACATGACATGCCTTCCACTCGTGAGCTCCATGAGCACCGTTCCCCGAGCTAGCGCCACCATTCAGCTTTGGAGGTGACCCTGGCGCCACGTGAGGTTGTGCCAATCTGTCAGCCTCCTTTGGGACTTCTCTGGCTGCTGGGACCTGTCAGGATGCAAACGGTGGCACGTCAACTCTGCAGGCTCTGACCCGAAAGCTCAAAACCCCTCATCCAAAGCAGCTGTCCAAGATCTGGGTTGCCGTTAAGGGGACTTAAATTAAGTTACTATATTGGGGAAACCCTATTATTTATTATATATGCCCATTATGGTAACTTAAGTTAAGTTCCTTAACAGCAACCCAGAAATGTGTGATACTTCTCTGCCTGGTTTGTGGCCTCACCTTGGTCAAAAGTCAGGCGCGGCTGCCAGCTGCTAGACGGCATAGCATGACATTTTTGGCAGACTAAGGCTGCAACTTCGTGGCCTGGGCCGAAGCATGGTAGTGACAATACGCACATCTCCACCCCTTTGACAACTAACGTGGATGGCACTAAGCGAAATTGTTAGGCGCCGCTGATATGGGTCCTTCATCCTGGGGGCTTTCTATACCAACTACCTTCTGGTGGTTAGTAGGGAATGAGGGGATATATTATACAAGGGATTATATAGGGATCAAAATCCCACATTCCCTCCTAACCACCAATAGGATTATGTAGAGATCTACACTAAATAAAGCCGCAAGCAGCAGAACGGCTCGGATGGGGTTGCGACTGCGCGTCTCGAAGCAGCCAAGGATTTGGTTCTCGGGGAGGAGGAGGATTCAGGGGCGCATAGCCCAGGCCCTGAACAGCAGAAGTACAGGAAAGCTCCAGCCACTCAAGTAAAAGGGAAATGACTGTATGATGTAGTGGTTTCCATTCTCTCCGGCATGCCTGCAGTGGGTAGTACTACATTATGCAATCAACTATCTAGATTTCCGTATGATGTATTGGATTGCTACTAGCGGTACTAGCGACTGGGCTAGTATTGGAACTGCTAGCCCTTACCCGAAACTCCCCAAAATACGAGCAGTTAAAGGACAATAGTTTCCAATCCAACATTGAGCCTGAAAAAGGCCCCTTGCAAAAGGATAGTAATCTATGTAGTGGGTCTTCCCCTTTCAGTCACAGTTACCACAAGAATTTCTAGGAGTCATATGAGGACTTTGTTGAAATGTTTTAGTGTAGGGCCCTTTTTGAGGTTCCATGTGAGATATAATCTAAGCTCCTAGTGTCCCCCTTATTATAACCCCTGTAGTAGTCCCCTATATAATCCCCTATATAACACCACTTTAAGGAGTTGAAACTCTAAACCCGAACCCTACATAACCCCCTTTGAGGAGTTTAGATCGTGGCCCATGTGAGGGGTGATGAAAACCCACACCCATTTAAATGACCCTTAATCCTGCTATCGTGTGTTTTTACTCTTATCGTTTTACAAAGTTTCGCCGT